GTTTTACCCCACTGAATGGCAAGTTATTAAAAGAGCAAAGTAATAGAGCTTTTGGCAGGAGCTAGCATGATTTTAAGTATCACTGGATCTGCTAAACGTTGTTGGTTTCTATGCACTCGAAGAACCAACTCCTCAGAAGAATTGTAGAAAGAAAACAAAGTGCCTCAGAGGGGGGTTGAAGAAGTCCCTTAAAAAGACTATGACTAAACTGAAGGAAGAAGGGAAAGAACAGTTCACATCTAAAGTATTTTCTAAATAAGTGAAAGAGCCTACCTTACACATGAGAAAGGAAAAAAGCAAATTTGCTTAAGTCAGAAGTAAACTTATTGAGTGCTCAGAAGGCTTTATTAACACAAATGATGTATTAGAAGTAATACATAGTACACTAGCTTAAAAAATGTGAAAGTTTTAGCTAAAGGTAGAAAAAGGTGTTAATACTGTGAGGCTGTCGTGGTTTAACCCCAGCTGGCAACTCAGCCCCACGCAGCCCCTTGCTCACTCCCCCCACGATGGGACAGGGGAGAGAATCAAAAGAGTAAAAGTGAGAAACTCGTGGGTTGAGATAAAGACAGTTTAATAGGTAAAGCAAAAGCCACGCATGCAAGCAAAGCAAAGCAAGGAATTCAATCACCACTTCCCATGGGCAGGCAGGTGCTTAGCCATCCCCAGGGAAGCAGGGCTCCATCACGCATAAGGGTGACTTGGGAAGACAGACGTCATCACTCCAAATGTCCCCCCCTTCCTTATTCTTCCCATAGCTTATATACTGAGCATGTCGTCATATGGTATGGAATAGCCCTTTGGCCAGTTTGGGTCAGCTGTCCTGGCTGTGACTGCTCCCAGCTTCTTGTGCCCCTGGCAGAGCTGAGAAGTCGTTGGCCAGTCTAAGCACTACCCAGCAACAACTAAAACATCAGTGTGTTATCAACATTCTTCGAGTACTAAGTCCAAGACACAGCACTATACCAGCTACTAGGAAGAAAATTAACTCTATCCCAGCAGAAACCAGGACAGAGACTCATAACCAACGCTACTACATTTACTTTGCTACTTGATGCTTTATTACTAAGTTAAGTTTTATTATGATCACAGAATCACAGAATGGCAGGGGTTGGAAAGGACCTCAGATCATCTAGTCCAACCCCCCTGCTAAAGCAGGTTCACCCAGAGCAGCTTGCACAGGACATCTTCCAGGCGGGCTTTGAATATCTCCAGAGAAGGAGACTCCACA